ATATATATATATATATACACATATATATATTACTCATTATTTGTGTTTGTTTGTTTGTAATTACGCAAAAAACTACACTTTGGGCTATCTGTGCTCTGCCCACCACGGGTATCAAAACATGGATTCTAGCGTTGTAAGTCCGCAGACATACCGCTGTACCACTGGGGGAGGGGCATTATTTGTGACTCCTATGTGTGATCCTTACGTGTTTTTATAATTATTTGAAGTACTGTACGTCTTCAGATATAAATTCAACTTAAGAAATAAAATTTAACGAATATAACAGACGATATCACAAGACAATGGTATGAAACTAATTTTCATTCCATTAAAACGGTAATGTCGGTCATTAAGGGCTCATGGAGATTCCAACTAAAATATTCTATTTTATTTGTTTTCTCGCTATCAATGCATCACACCAAAATCGAATGTTAGAAATAAATATTTAACCTTATAGTCACATATCGAGTGTTTAATTTCACCTTTTCTTAGATGCACATGTAATATATTAATAATAATAATTAATCGTTTTAATTAGTGTGTAGATAAAACAGTTTTTGGAAATATGCAGTGATGTAGAGGTGGTGAAATGCTTTTAGACTAAAGTTGTACGTGTGTTTGTTCATACCGGGCCAACGTTGTCTCAGCTGTTACTATGGTTACGCACTACTTAATTAGTTTCAGTTTGGGGACAAATTTAAAACCTATCATGTCTCAGAAGTATTCCGGAATTATAGGACTAAGTTACAACCCTAATCTCCCTCCGCTCGTGAAGTAAAAGACGGCGCCTATGATAGTGATAAAGAAAATACTTATCAGTTAAGATCTCCGGAAACCGTTTGTAAGATAAATGTCTAAGTCTTATTGTTTCTAACCCTAAGCTGGTGGGCGAGGCATTATTGGCCTGACTTGATACAGCTACAAAGAAAAGGCGACATCCACAGTGACGAACTGCGGGTAATATCTGGTATTTACCATAAAAAACAACAATTTACATGTATAATAACAGTATAGGTATTAATTTTTTTTTTAACCGGGGGCTGAGCACCGCAACCAATTTTCGAGGGGCAAGCCCCTGGGACCCCCACGTATTCGGCGCCTCTGATCATTATGGTATTTATCGTGAATTTTTAAATGTGAGATTAAAAAAAAAAATTTGGTCACCCGTTCATCTAACACTTTTCCGTTGAAATTAAATCAACTGTTTCGTTCATATACTGGATCAATAAATGTTTGAACTATCCGTTGAAATTAAATCAACTGTTTCGTTCATATACTGGATCAATCAATGTTTGAACTATCCGTTGAAATTAAATCAACTGTTTCGTTCATATACTGGATCAATAAATGTTTGAACTATCCGTTGAATTTAAATCAACTGTTTCGATCATATACTGGATCAATAAATGTTCGAATTATACAGTTCATTTAGCAGCCATCTGTAATATCACATCCACCGTAAATAAATTAAATATTGACAAACAATACATGTTCTCAGAAACCATTAATTTTTCATGATAGAGAAGACAGATAGTTCGTAAACTAAAATTATTACACCTACCTATGAATTACTTCATCTACCTATGAAAATTATCGAGAACTGTAGTGAGGGGGGGGGTATTTCGGAGGGTGTCATGACTATTGGATATAATTTTAGGGGTGAACCCAGAGACGGCCAAAATTGAAGTTTAAAACACCCTATCATATCATATTTATTGCGCCAAATCAATTAGCATGGTAAAGGATTGTTTTGATTTTAGAGATTAACTATTAACATCAAAGATTAGGAAAAATGGACTTGGAATGACAACACGAAAGATGACGGTCCTAGCTGACGAATGAAAACCTTTAAGTTTAACAAAACGACGCATACACGATTTTGGCGTTTTTAGATACACCAATATTTTCGGCATCTGTTAAGAATGAAATATAATTAGTAAACAAGATGGCTACTTAAAACATCTCACAACAGCGATTGGTGAAATTTTAACCTTTTTATTTAAGAGTAACAAACGTCACGACCTATCAACAACATTGCGCTATACGTTACTTTTGCCATGTAAAGCATTACTAACAATTTTGAAACATTTCTGACAGAATTCAAATTAGGAGAAAAAGAAGTTTGTACACTACAACTAAAAAAATATGCAACTATGCAGAAGCCTTAGCAAAAGACAAATTTTCTTCTGTCATCAGAATATCACAAGTCAATATTAGTTGTGTAACAGGGTTGAAATTGTTTTCTACAAAACTTTACTATCATTTCAAATAAAACATTTTTATCTACTTTTTTTCGTTGTTTAATCTTATTAAAGAATTCAACTCTTAAAAGAGCAATATCTTTGATTTATAAAAATATCACTATGTTAAAAGAAATGGTGAAACTGTATCAAGGTATATCAACTGCCACGAAAACAACTCCTTTTTGTAAGATACAAAAAAAAAAACACACAACGTATAAATCCATTCAACTAATTCGACTTACAGCTCTAAAATAAGAACAACCTGTGAGCCGATATCAAAAATATCATGTAATCGTACGATATTATCATGGTTCGCCCCTTTCAGAATAGACACCTCGCGGCAAATATCTTCGGGAGCCACGCCTCGTCTGCTGCTACCTGTGCGACGTTTACGGATGAACTTGGCTGCCAATTCTTTTCCAGTCTCTTTCTCCACACATCGTTTGACGACTGCAAACTGACCGCTAAATATGCAAACAACATCGTATTTAAATAAAAGATATGCAGAATGTAAAAATAAGTGTTAACACCAATTCTATACAACTGAGGAAAATAATAATAAAATCCACATCTCAATTTACAGTTCCGTTGCAAATTCGACGATTTAATATTAAAATATTATGATATACAAAATTACAAAACTTTGTAATATTCTAATTCTGATTTAAAAAAAACAAAACAACAGGTGTACTGTGTAGCTGGAGAAAATATTACCTATCGAACCCGCTTTACTTTTAATTATAAAAAAGGAAGACTGACTCGGGCCGACGTGACTCATCAAATTCCGTTCGTTAAGACAGATGGCACTGTTACCACCACACTTGTCCAAGCAACGAGTGAAAGAATTCGTACACCACGAACGAGCGATGCAACTTTAGCAATATAATTAAAATCAACTCTATGAACATCAAGATCAGGATTTGATAAAACATTGGCTATAAGCTATCATAAACAACGTTTTATAACACAAGGGTCATATCCAACGAGTTTTTAAAAGCTGTGTGGCGATTCTGGTTTATATACGACTCCTCAAACGTTGACCTTTTACATGTAATTCTGGTGTAAAAAAACTTGTTTTAAATACACTAGGATAGTAAAAATTATAATTACGTGAAACTCGGTTTATACAGATACATACACACGTAGTTTTTGTGGGTTAAATTTATCTGATAGATTTAATGCATAACTTGAAGTAACAACTTGATATTTTTCAATAAACACAAAGAATAAAGCACGGTTCCTGGACACTGCATGTTACAGGAACTACGTTTTGGTAAAAATCTTATATAATATTGAAAGTTTATAGTTTCTGGCAGTTGGTATTAGGTCACTGAGTTTTAAACATTGCTACACAATTGATAACATGTTTCAGAACTTTTGGCTCCAAGCAATCACAAAAGAATACCAGATTATGCGATAAAAACATCCTTCTTGTCACAGTATGGCCGCCACAAGAAGTAAGAAATTTTCTGGAAACATTCTGTAAGGATTTACCCACCAACATGCCCCAAGTTGAACAAAATACAAGGCCTGCCTAACTAATGAATGAACATTTGCTGTAAAATTCTTATCTCTGCAACTACTGTAGCTACCAGTTTGGCCGCCAATTTTGATTTCATTTCTTTAAGTCGCACGCTTAATCCTTTTTGGGCCACAACTTCTTTTCACACCTACGGTGTTTTTGATTAGATATCATGACTTTCTGTCAACAAACTCCACCAAATAAGAAAGTGATACTCAATAGTAACCAACTTTAGCTTTAGGATTGCAACCCTATTATTCGAAACAGACCTATACTTTACATAACCAACCACATTCTTTAAAATATATGGTAGTAATATTTCGTCTCTAATACATTGTTAATAACTTCCTTTATTGTAACGCCATGGAATCTAGATTAATAGTTTCTTGTCACCACCTGCATGCACTCGGTACCAGCCGTATCAAGCATCATTATTTACGCCAATTGCCTAAGCTAATATCACGTGACACTAAACGCTCTTTGATTAGAATAATTTTAAAGAATTTAGTAAATTTTTGCTTAAAAGTTGTCAATGAATGATAACCGTCCATCATTACGATTCTTTTGAAAACTTGAGCTAGAAACTGATACTCTAGTTTGTTTGGCCTAACCAATACTTGTGTACCTGCACGTCCTTTCACCCTATAGTTTTGTTGCTCTAAATCAGCCGTCTTTAATCCGAATGAAAAAATTATTGTCCACCTTTACTCTGAGGTGAAGCTGCAGTAAAAATTTCAGACCAATAGATCCCGTAACTGTTTGCGTAGACGTTGCGCAAGAATTTTGGTCAAATTTGAGAGGTTTTTGTTGAATAACTTTGCACATGTGGCTTATATTTAGACCATGTTTGACATCTACTTATACGTTTATAAGGATCTATCAGTGTACCAAATTTGGAAAAAAAGAATCCATAAAAGTTGATTATGTTTTTATATGTGTCTTGATGAATGTTTTATTTTCTACGTTTCCATTTTTTTAGTTTTTTACGTCCGATACAATATTATACCACCAAGTAAAAGAAGTATCCATGTAAAACAGGATTACTGTGGATTATTCTGTATTGCTGAACCATCGTTTGCCCAAATGATGAATTATTTTCTTTAGTATCCCCACAAAGAGAAAGATTGTTAGTCAAATAAAGAATGGTTTAGATAAGAAATAATTTGGAAATCTCACATTCTTAACAGTTTCTTGTTATAAAGTGCATAATAGAATGAGCGTTATTACCAGAGTTAATATTGGTGATAGCAACCCGCAATACAACACAAGCACAAAACTTAGCAGAAACAGACTCGTTAGTGAGTGGTAGCTTCACCTTTTCCCTTATTCGAAAGGAGCCATGTTCAGTACAGTTATGCATGTCAAGGAGCGTGGAAAGCACTGCAATATTTCGGACAATACCACTGCTTCAGGAAGTGCTCAAATTCATACCTTGTTTCCTTACTTTTTGGTGCTTCCATTCCCACTTCGTTTGTTGTTGTTTTTTTTCAATTTTCATTTACATTTGTTAACTTTATTTGAAAACCTAGTACAGCATACCGGAAATTTAAGTACCTTTAAAGCAGAAATATTTACTAGTCATTTTCAACTTTACGTAGCTTTAGTAATGGTTCGGCTGCTTAAAACAGAAATATTAATGCATGTGAATCCATAGAGAACATTACCTTATTCTCCTTAACAACGGAAACTATATACTCATCAGTTTCAGTAAATGCATGCAGTATCTAAGAATGTTGTTTGATCCCATATCCCACAAGAGAGTGATTACAACAATAAGTACGTTACGCAAATGCCTCGCAACCGACTGATTGGGTTTTCGAGGTAACAAAACTGTATCATCGTTTTTTTTAACTAGAGACTCATAATGCAGGTATATTAATATATACAATTATACACGGACTGTTCTCTACGTTAAAATATTTTTATTTGGGAGCTATCGGCCCTCTTACCGGAGCCCCTGTATAATTCCACACAACTGTATCATCCTTGCAAAAAATATGGAGTTTGTTTGTTTGTAGTTAAGCACAAAGCTACACAATGGGCTAGCTGTGCTCTGACCACCACGAGTATCGAAACCCGATTTTTAGCGTTACAAGTCCGCAGGCATCCCACTGAGCCACTGGAGGCAAATAAAAATGTGGAGTAATAAAATGCTTAATATTTTGATTAATCAATACTACTCCACAGTGATCTTGCATGAGATTGGTATATGAAATTCAGATCAGTAAATAGATACGTGACGTATGTCTTTGAGAATGTAGAATCAGCATCACCGTTTTTCACAGTATTTCATCTACGTAGCTATAAATATATATATATTTGCAGTACTTGTCAACTACAGATAAGAGCGAATTATTTCATCATTCTACTAAGGAATTTTACTTACATACATACACCGACATAAAATCTTTTCACGATAAGCAATAGATAAAATTACCGAAGAACTACACACTTAGATAAACCCAAACACAGATCTGTGTCCTGTGCGACAAAAGGAAGTTACATAATTTTAATATACGAGATAACTGATTTTTTTTTTTTTATGTTTCTGCTATGCAAACGAATACATGTTTTAAATTGGTAAATTAAAAGGCTCAGTATTTTGAAAGAAACATGAACGTAATGGAAAAGTTAACATGTGAGATAATATTGCCAGACGTACCAAATTTACGAAAAGGTTGTATGACTACAGTTTAATTTCCTTTTTTGGTGTTGGTTTATTGTATTTGTGAGATGTGTTTTAATTAAATAAATATCACCGTTTATTAATTTTTTTATGCAATAACCATTATCTCAACGTTTTTGTAAATTGATCAAAATGTTTATCCAAGGGTTAGAGCGAGACAAATAAGGTATCACAATATGACTAACTGTGTTATAAATTGTGTATTGAAAAATAAATAAGTGTTCGCCTACTTTATATACCCTCAACGTCAAAGAAAGATGACCTGATAACTTTACAAACTTTCATAAACAGGTTTAACCTGGAATACCAGGAAGGAAAGTGTGTGGCTATGGAAAGGTGAACGTCCTACTTTTGGCCCACAGCTTAATAACAATGTGATATAATACACACATATGCATGTGTGCTTACATAACAGGCCAAGTTGATACAATATAATACAAACACTTGCATGTGCTCTTATATAACAGATATAGTTGATATAACACACACACGTGCATATGTGCTTACGTAACAGGCTAAGTTGATATTCCTAGCATTAATCCTGTATTACTAAATTATTTAATTCCAATCACCCTTAAAAAATCACGAAGACCACAAAAATAAATGACAAAAATAGACTTCTGCTAGAAAGCTTCAAGGAATGATACAAAAGAGCATTTCCAAACAAATCTACAAACTATCTTTTGTATATATGTACTGACATAAACGTCTTTCTGGGATTCAAGCATGTTAATTATAAAGCAGTAATGTTTATGCAGAGTCAAAGGTACATATATACATTCATAGAGAATGAAGTAGGCTTACGAAATTTATGTGGACAACTACAGAAGTTTCTCTGCTCAAAGTACACTAAGCTTTTAAAGGAAATTGCAGTTCTTTTTCCTGTGAAATTCGGCATAAACAGTCCGAGTTAGTCCAAATCCAAAAAAATTAACATTTTATTTACTTCATAATAATAGCTACATGTAAAAGCTTTTATTTTACCCTCTAACATGAATTGTTTGCCGTGATTGGCCGAGAGTGCATCACGTGGAAAAAACATGTTATCTTGAAAAGCAGTCATCAAATCGCAACAATGTTGTCAGCGCTATCCAGTGAAAGTGGGATTTCCAAGGGTACTCCCGGTTCTACCCACATCTAATTCTTTAGACATTGACTTTATAGATACCTGCCGCCCTGAAGGACCTGAAGTCCAATATCAGCCGTTTCTTAGAATTCTAGACCAGCCAATAAGAGTCTATAAAGAATTATCAGTT